ATTTTAAAAGGCAAGAGTTGACTGGCTTTAGTCACGAACAGCAAACAGAACTTTCTTTGCAAGTAGAGAAGCAACAGCTCTCATTTTCTCTCCTCTCAATCCATAAAAGTTTAACATAAATGTGGGTCATTCTACAGAAATGTCCACTTTTCTATCTACCCATAGGAGTCACTGGTGTTACCGATCGTCATTGGTGTTACAGATAAGAAAGGTAACACCAGAGACACTTTTAATGAAAACTGTATTTTATAAAATAACTGCTACAGAGCATCAAACCACATGTTGTCAATCATGGAATCTCCACTAAAATATGTAATTTAATACATTTGTGTTCTATTCTTTCATAGTTACCTAAGAATAAAGTCAGTCACACCAGTGACGTCAACTAAAAGCTTCATATGAAATCATGAGCTAAATGAGAAAATTTCTGATAACTGAAAGACACAGTGGACTCACCATGTGCTTTTCTTCATAGATCCTCAGAAAACAGGTAAAAGGAAGTCAAGTGATGTCATCAGTGTGGTTTTTATTTCAAAATAAGAGATTTTTTGTTATGCAGTAACACCAGTGACACGACTCCTGGGGACCTTTCATTATATATTTTATAATATTTATCTGCCATTTGTTTTCTTTATGTCATTTAAATCATGTATTTGATAGTCATGTATAGATTATTGCAGTTAAAACTGCAAAAGCATTTTTTACCTCAAAATACGGCCTCACCCTTTACACATGACTGTGAGGATGAGCTCTTCTGTGGTGCTTGGAATTCTAGATAATTGATTTAAAAACCAATATTGCTAAATTGAGGTTCAAGAAGGTGTGATTGTTAAAATAACTTATTGTTTAATTTTCAAATATAAATAAATTGTAATTTTTTTACAAAAAATTTTTCAAGTGTAATATAACTGTAAACGCTAGGGACACAAAAATGGACGTTTCTATAGAATGACCCTTATATGGCTTTATACATAGTTACATAGTCAAGATTGACAGTGAATATGTAAATGAAAGACATTTAAAGTTCACAGTGTTCAAAGCACAAATAGGAAGGCAAAATTTAAACCATACAGAGCGCCAAGGTTACTTGCTAGCTTGCTAGCGAGATCGAGTGAGCTAACTTCCTAGACATGTTGGGTATGGTTTCTTCATTTCCACAGAAACGAGCAGAGGGATCCGGAGCGGCGTAACACGCTGAGAAAAGTGCAAATGGATGCTTATCTTATGTTTATGATGCCTCACAGCAACTGAAACCCGTATTAATGCACTAAGTCACTAAAACTGCTATGCTGCTCACACAGACCACACAGTGTACTGACAGATCGAGTAAGTTTTGTTTACATTGAGGGACCAACATCTTATTTTCTTAGGAACAAGGCTGAAATAGAGCAGGCTGAAAATAGCTAACAGGCTAAACCGTTCCTCCATATTCAGGCTGTGAATTGAAGTATTGAGTGAACGATTTAACTGCGACATACAAAGTAAAGAAGGTGTTACTTGAATGTCTTCCAAGCTTCAAATGTCTGTTTTTGGTTAGATCTGCCTTAAACCCAGTGTGGGGAAAAAGAGTGTAAAACTGTTAGCTTGGCGCTAACATAACTCAAATGAAATTGCCCTAGCAGCAATTAGCATTATTATTGCTGTGATAATCTGGTGAGAAAAGAACTACTCAGGTGTTCCTGCTTATATTATGTTGTCTGATGTTATGTAACGATATGTTGATGATTATATGACACAATTTTAAAAACGTAATTAAATGATTGCTGAATATCATGATGGGTGACTGAAAGCTCTTGTCCTCACTCAGGAGTCCATAGTTGCTTGGTGATACTTTGTTAGTGGAAGAATCGTTTGTTCTGATTATTATTAAAGGGCCCATATATTAGAAAACTTTTTGAGATAAAATTGTTTGAAGTTCCAAAGCCATTCACTTACTAATCCCTACAATCTATATATCGCTGTGGTCAGAACAAAACCTCATATCTCCAAAATGGTAACTTTACAGGAGAAGGAAAAAACATACTTTACTTTTAATGTAAGTCAATGGAACCAGACTTCTCTCCAAGTCATTTTGGGTCATTTTTTTGGTCCACTCATCATGAAATTCACATACAGTGTACAAGCCAACAGGCATTTTCAAATTATGGCAGAAACTGAAAAACGACAAAAATGGAGATACAAGGTTTTCTTCTTACAGCAGCGATATGGAAACTAACCCGCAAAAACAGCCTGTCTTGAATTCAGTGTTTTTGTGATGTCATATACATACATCCCCCTTTTCAGCCTACAGCAGTTTAGCGCTGTCCAACCTGAAGTTAGAAAGAGTGTTTCAGCCTGGACTGCTTTTCGAATGAGGCAGTATAAGACAGCCTATCAGAACAGAGCTCATTTGCATAAACCAGCCTGTAAGGCAAAGTAACAACACAGCCTGCTTAATTCTAAGGAATAAAGAGAGGTTGGAAAAATGAAAAAAAATATAAAAAAAAAGAAATAAATAAAAATGATTTTTTTAGGTACGTAAAACCTCATTGTTATAAGTGGACCTCAGGAGAAAAAAATAAAAATTAAGAAAAATGTAGGCTCTTTAATAATAACTAAAAATACACACATTTTAATAAATAATTTATTTGATCTTTCCCCTGTTTTATAAAAAGCCTTATACCAGGGGTCGGCAACATGCGGAAGCGGAGCTGCATGCAGCTCTTTTACGGCCCTGTTGTGGCTCCACAGCAGAATTCGATTTTTAGGTAAACATAAAATAATCATATTTTTCAGTAAAATTAAGTCCAACACAGTTTAAACAATAAATGGTCTTAAACACTGCAGTTAATGTAGCCTATAACTGCTAATTCACCTTTTTACCCTGAAGGTTGGCACGCAGACAACAATCTCGCCTAGCCAGTAGCTAACGAAAAGGCAAAGAGAGAGATTTAAGACGAACATCGATAATTCTCCAGCTGGTTTCCTGATATGTTGAATCTTCAACGAGAAACTGTCAAACAGCTGAAGTCACTTCTCTTTCTTCAGCTTCTTGTTTGAATTTTCCTATTCCACCTTAAATGGTGCAGCAGTTACATTCTGGAGACTCAGGCACCTTTTAAGGTGGAATGGGAAAATTCAAACAAGAAGCTGGCGAATAAGAAGCAACTTCAGCCTCGTAAAAAATGAAACATTGAGAGACATTTTACAAGAAGCTATTCTACTTTTAAAGAAAAGTTTCCTGCCGGAGATGTGAGAAAAGTGGCTACAGATGAGCTAAAGCTTAAAGCAGAGCAAACTAAGTCTGTGTTTTTGTTGATATTTTATTTTTAAGCCTATACTAGTACATCAGCACATATTGACATATTTACAGCCAGGATGTCAAAATGGATATAACATACTGTGGCTCCCAAAGTGGTTTGATTTTTGTTGAATGGACAAAATGGCTCTTTTTACCAGCCCTTGCCTTACACTCAAAATCATAGTTATACAGCCTCTCATTGCTTCATGATTGACTCTGAAAAGTGTATTGTGATGCAGTTTGTCTCACTGCCCAAACCCAACCCAGGGTACTATGCGTTTTTTGGTCAGAGTTTTCTGTGTGTTCTCTAGTAAGGCGAACCCCACTTCAGCATCTGTAGTGAATTTAAAAAGATCTTAATGATCAAGAAGGAGATCGGTAGACGCTGGTGAGGCTGATTGAAGTGCTGGAATTACAAAAATAAACGTTTCTCACAGGTCAGACAGAAGACAGATTCATTGACATGCAAGATAATGTTTCACTGCCTCTTTGATCTTCAGGAAATCTGTCTGAACTGAACAAGCCGAGTGTGGTAAGAATGTGGCGCGATGTGTTTTTATCTGAAGCCCCCGAGTCGGGGCTAAATTAGCGATGGCGAGCCTGTGAGAAAGCGAGATGTGAGTTTGCCACATGAAGGGAATTCCAGGGTATGGGTCCAGTTAAAATACCACACCAGCAAAAGCCACTCAAGAGTCAGTCGGCGATTTTCCTGAGAAACTGGCTTCCTCTGAGAATTCCTGTCTGCTGCATTAAATTAGAAATTTTAAGATTAAAAGTGTTTTCCTACTCAACATAAAATGCATGATTATGGTATATAAACACAGTTTGTAGGGGTTATTTTTGGTGTGCAGGCTTCAGATACATACAGGGCTGTGCAAAAGTCATAGACCACCCTTTATTTAGCCTCATTTTTAGTCAAGTTGTTCATTTTTCAGGAGATATTTCTGAGGAGATCAGATTATAATATGATCAACTTGCATGAGGAGGGAGAAAATCAAATGAAAGTAGGTTAAATATAAGAGTTTCTTAAACTGAAGTTCAAAAAATGTTTAAAGCTCCAGAGAAAAAGGGGCTCCTAACAACCACCTGGAAGAGCTGGTAGACACTGAAACTGCCCCCATCAGATAAACAGCACTTAAAGCTTTCGTCTTTGAGAGAGAGGAGAAAATCAAGCTGCTTCAGATCTGAAAACAACCACAGGTGTTTCTGTCCATCCTTCCACTGTGAGGAGACGACTCAGCGCTATGGGTCTGAAAGGATGTGCAGCTGTTCAAGAAGAACCTCACTGAGAAAAGGAGACGGACACATCAAACAAAGAAGCTGAACAATGGACTGACCACCCCAGAGTCCAGACCTCAACACCACTGAATGTGTTTGATTACTTCAGAAAACGATCAACCAACTTCTAAGACTGAACTTTGGAGGTGTGTCTGCAGATTTACTTGAGAAACTGAAAGTGAGTCTCCTGAAAAGAGTGGAAGCTGGAATGAAGGTAAAGAGCGACTCACTCAACATGTTATAATTACTTGTTGGGGCTTCTGTGTCATTTTCTGTTATGTTTTCTTCTTTGTTCCAATGAAACCAATGAAGGGTGGTTTCTGACTGGTTTCTGGTTTGGTGGTCTCTGACTTTGGATAGTACTGCATGATGGATGAAGAAAGAATATCAGTGTTTTTATCTTTTCCCATGCAAAAAATATCACAGTAAATGGTACAAAATGATAGTTGTAATGCACCTTTATTTATCAAGTGGTATCAGAATACAGTTTAAGATCCACAGTCTTTTTTTTCATTACACAAAAATATACTTAAAAACAAACTTAGGTTCCCAGCCCTGAAATACAAACGTTTCCACTGAGACACATTTATAGTGGTCTCTCATACACTTACAGTTTTATTGTCAGTATCACAGACACACACACACGCCCACCAATCGCAGAGACAAACTCGCACATTCAAAGCTGATCTAGCTTAGCACACAATTATAGCAGAGACTCATCTTAAACCAGCAGATAGAGGCCCCTCTTCACTCAGTCTGAGCTTGCGTCAGAGAACTTGCAAGCAAATTAACAGCATTAGGGGAGTTTTTCGCTCAAAACACTGGCATTGCTGACAGCATCAAATCCAGCATGGGCTACTTACGATGGTGTTTTTGGATCACTGTTCAAAAAATTGAAAATAATAGACTTTATTTTCAAAGTCGCAATATTTCGAGAATAAAATTGTAATATTTGGAAAATAAGGTCAGAATATTTCGATAATAAAGTCGTAGAATTAGGACATTAAAGTGGGATATTACCAGAAAAAGCTGCAACATTGTAACCAAAGGGTTTGCAAAAGGAAGGCAGCACCTCCTCGTGCTAAAACGAGGGACGCTGAGGAGCTGGTAGAGTTAAACTTTCGTATCGATTTCACACCATTAAGAAATACTCAGTCTCCCTGTCTCTCCTGGCACATCAGCACCAGAGTGTTATTAGTATAAGAAACGGCTGAAACGGCTGTGCAGGAAATAGAATAGGAAAAAATTATAGAATAAAGAGCCAGACGGACTCGCCACTACAGCAACTGAGACCCCAACACGTTATGGCAGCCCCCCTACAATTAGCCCACTTTATCCTCGAAATATTGCGAGTTCATTCTTGTAACTTTACGACTGTATTATCAAAATATTACAACTTTATTCTTGAAATATTACAACTTTCAAAAGTCTATAGACTCTCAAAGTCTATTATTTATGTTTTTTTAACAGAGGCCCTAAAACGCCATCATAGCTAGTTAGCATGATGCTAAAAAGATATAAAAACTGGCCTCTACATGCCGATTTGCTGTTAGCCAATCTAGTATTTTTTTTTTTTCACTGTTTGCATTTTGGGTTTGTCCTTTAACACTAACAAATGGGCACCCATTTTAAAATAAAGGGCCTCGTACAGTCCTATAAACTTATACCACTAACATTTTAAGTCCTGTAAAATGTGCTATACTCTCAAAATATTCAGAATCTAACGTTTAAAAATCCTTCCTCTGGGCTAGGAATTTGTTGTCTCACTTAAGGAAAGGATAAAGGCTTACGATATATGATGATGCCTCCAAGAGCTCGTCTGTTATCTCAGCCACCAGAAAGTGTCCATTTGAGGTGGTGAATCGAAGGTTCTACGTAAGAGACACTGGTTTGAGAAAAAGACTTCTCCATCTGGAAGTGGTGGAACTCTTCACTCTCCAGTTACAATGTAAGCAGTGTACTTTCATGCAGGCCTGAAATCAGGCCTGGGTTTGGCACAATAAGCCTTGCATGTGGTTTAGATCTGTCCAGTTTAGGCTAGTCTGCTGATGGGCAAACCCCACAAGCCTTAGCTAGCCCACCGACGGTTAAAGCTGCCCCAGTCCATGTCAGCTGGACCTTTCAGAGTATCCTAGGCTAGTGCTAGCATTAGCATCACGCTAGAGTGAGGTGGTTGTTCCGTTCTGCAGGTGGTAAAAGGTCTTTCTTGATGGGAGTCGATGTGATGGAAGCACCTCTGTCCTTTGACTTGAAGAGGTCTGAGACGTAGAACACCTGAGAAATGAAAATGTAATCTGAGTTACTGAAGGAATGGAAACAGTAACTGCTGCCATTGACATCATCTACCAGATTCAAGCAGGTGAGAATGATTGGAGCTACAGTGTCACAAGAGAAAGTTACTGAGAGGTAACGATTGCGAGTAGTCGACGCCTCCTGTGTTGACTGTTTAGTCGTCTGCTGCACTGATTATGGAAAAATGCAATATAAATTGTCAATGAAAAACAGTTCAATTATATTCAACTATGAGCCTTAAATGGCCAAACTGGCCTGTTTAGCTCTCTCAGATCCTTGCTGTCCATGCTTAGTCCCCCAGCTGACGACAGACACGGCTCCAGCTCAAATAAACAAACATTACTCACTGCTGCCCTCTAAAGGTGTTATATATCACAAAGTCAGAATTTTTAATTAGAGCATTTATTGTTTTTCTAAGACCCAAATCGTATCTCAATAACTGCTTTCTTTTATTTACATGATTTCTCAACCCGACTGATAACACACCCAATTAAATTCTAGCTGATGTAATGTAAACATGTGATTGTGAAAACTAACAACTGTAAAAAAATAACTGCAGTCAGTTTAAATCCTTTTTTAGGCAATCATGTAATAACTGTGACACGCCTAATTAATTCATTCTTTACTGAATAAACAGCAGGACTTTATGATGTTCTATAATGTTCATATGATACATACAATCATTTCAATAGACTGTAATGCACTACAGAAAGTATAAAGGGGCAAAATGGCTTCTATTGTTTCACTGCACCATTAAAGAACTTGTTGCATGGAGGGAACTTTGATGGCTGGCCTATAATATACAAAGCGAAGGCATAACTGACTGATCAAATAGCTGTAGATGGCTTAATCAATTATAGAAATAACTGTTAGTTGAGCCTGTAAATATGCATGAGAGGGTGTGATACTGAACACTTTCCATATAGGAGCACTTCTGTTTCTCTGCATACTCTGTTAACCCCCTTTCACTCTGTTCTTCAGTGGTCAGGACCCTCACAGAGCAGGTACTATTTGGGTGGTGTGTTAGTGTGTGTCGCGCTGGTGCGAGTGGATCAGACACAGCAGTGCTCCTGGAGTTTTAAACACTGCGTCCACTCGCTGTCCACTCTATTAGACACTCCTACCTTGTCAGTCCACCTTGTAGATGTAAAGTCAGAGACGATAGCTCATCTGCTGCTGCACAGTTAGTGTTGGTCATCCTCTAGTCCTTCATCAGTGGTCACAGGACGCTGTTGGCTGGATATTTTTGGTTCTCAGTCCAGCAGTGACACTGAGGTGTTTAAAAACTCCAGCAGCACTGCTGTGTCTGATCCACTCACACCAGCGTAACATACACTAACACGTCACCACCACATCAGTGTCGCTGCAGTGCTGAGAATGACCCACATGTATGTATATGTTTAAGTATATGTATATGTCTATGAGAGAGGGAGCACATGTACTTACTATGCAATAAGCCACCAGGGCTCCCTGAGCGAATCCCGCCAGTACGTCAGTTGGGTGGTGCTTGTGGTCAGAGACGCGTGACAGGCCGGTGTAGAAGGCCATCATGAGGAGAGTAAACTGCACCAGTGGCCTCAGAAGCCGGGCTCCCTCCCAGGTGAACCTCGACTGCAGGTAGAACTGCAAGACCACAGACAAGACTGCTGTTAACAACAACTGAGAACAGCTGATTGGTCTGAGAACATTTTGCTAACCTAAACTGCACACTGGCTGAGAAGCGACACAAAGTGTAGCATAGTAGTCAGAACAGAGCACAGCTAAAGCATCGCACTCAGAGCCTGTTTACATTGCATTATCAGGTGTTTGGTGTCCAGATCGTATCTGGATAAACTTTAGCCGGATTCCGTTTACACTTTTTACTGCGTCCCCAGTTTGACCAGATTCGACTGCACTTTTCAACAGCACGTCAACACATGTCATTTCCATTATACTTTTGTGAACTATTTCCTGTTACGACTAGACAAGCTCAGCTTGGACGTTTTCATCTGTCCAGAGAGCAAAAAGGCTCTCGGTTTAGGGGACTTCATAATCCAATCACTGAAAACGCAGGTTAATGCAAGGAGTAAACAGGCCCTCGGGGTGTCAATAAACGTGCTATACGTGAGTTCAAGTGCAGGATATGTATTCATTTGAAAGTTTAAGTTTAAATTTTAAGCTTAATGAAAAGAAATTTAAAGCTGACACAAAAAAACTATTTCTGACGTTCTATTTACTCATTTTCGTTAAAAAGATTTCTGAACATTTTTTTTAATCTTTGAATTTTACATTTTTTATATTTTAATTAGGAAAGAATCTGATCTAACAAAAGCTGAAACATGTCACACATGAGTTGTGCTTTACTGTTACTCCGAATTGGGCTCAGAATGAGCACTGTACATCCATCAAAAACAAGGAAGCCTTTTCAAGGTTTTTCCTGGCGCAAAATGAAGTGGAGGTGATACCACAGCGATCATGTCCCAAACAGCAATGAACTTTTGGCCCAAACGTGGCCCACATCCGCAGTTCTCTTATGGCCCACATTTGGCTTTGATGTACGCCGTTGATTTAGGGTTAGTCTGGCTGCCTCAACGCAGCCAGGTCTACCGTATATGGCCCAAATCTGGGCCAAATAAATTTACCATACGCTTACCTTACATGGGCCATGTCTGGGCCAAATCAGGGCTAAAGGACTTAACTTCACCTCACTTTCACCTTATATGGGCCAGATGTCAGGTGTGTTGTGGACCAAACCTGGGCCAAAGAAATGTACCATACGCTCATCTTACATGGGCCACATCTGGGCGAAATATGGGCCAAATCAGGGCCAAAAGACTTCACCTTATATTGGCCAGATGTGAGGTGTGTTGTGGACCAAACCCGGGCCAAATAAATTTACCCTACGCTCACCTTACATGGGCCATATCTGGGCCAAATCAGGGTCAGAGGGACTTGTCAGGTGTGTTGTGGACCAGATTAGGGCCACATTAATTTACTGTATACTCACATCAACTATGTTAGTTTTTTGAACTTATAAAGCTTTTGAAAAAAATGCTAGGGCTGCATCAGTTTTGGTAGCGCCTTTCCTGGTGTACTGTACTGATTACGATACAGCACCACCACATGGCGTAATGCCACAACTGCAGTTACAAATGACAGAAATCCACTGATTGCAACACTGTTAGAGAGTTTTGTCGAGAGCTAGAGACAGTACAAAATTTAAGGCGGCCGCCTCGTAATTCACTATGCAGGAAAAACTCGTTTTATACGGAAACAAAAATCACTACAGCACACAAAAAGCTCTAGTTTTACATAACGATACCGAATAATTGATTTTACTATGGGAACTGGGATGTGCATGCGGTGTAACTCCTCTGGCAGCAGATTTAAACGAGCGGTATTCTTTCGTTGGGCCAGATACTGGTACTGGTTTCACTGGGTTTATGTGGTTAATGAATTTATTTGTTATCAGTTCTCTAACTCTTCATGGACTCACTGTTTTCCAGCTACTGTATACAAAGTGAGATGAAAAGTATGAAGATGACTGAGGTTTGAGATACTTACAGCCAAATAGAGCATAGTGTACATGGAGAAAGAGGCGTGGCCTGAGAAGAAGGACTTCCTGTAAAGAAAGAGCAGATTTAAGACCTCATCAGTAATGCCAAACAGTTAGAAAGCAAGTTAAAGGACAAAAAATGGGGGGCACAACACAAACATTAACCCGAAACAATGTGAAAAGCTTAGCTACGGCAGTCAAAATCTGAAGGACTGGTCAGTTTTTTTGGCCAGTAAAGCCCTGCTTCTGTTTATCTACAGTGAGATGAACAGTAGTGGATACCACTGTGCCTCTTTGGGACAGTGTCAGATCTTAGTGTGGCTTAGCATAATGAATGGAGACTGCGGATAATCCTAACAGGTGCAACGATGCACATCCATCAGTTTCCTCATCGGCATTAGCCTACATAATACAGCTGTCATCAGCTTATGAGGCCCATTCGAATATCCTTACGTAACCAAACCTGCAGTTTGGCCGGAGACAACGACAAAACACAGTGGCTTCAGTGGTTTGATTAGACTAACTCATTCAGTTTCCTTGACCAACTGGTGTGTAAACTCTTAAACGTACTCACGAACCAGTCAAACCTTGAGGTTTCATTTCAGAAGAAGCCTCGAGTTGCACATGGTATCTGTTCTAAAACGTGTGCACCCACACACACCCTGCTTAGCCTCACGTCATACCTGGCCTCCTGAACCCTGCTGTCGTCTCCTGTGCACATGTAGTCGGTGATGTAACCAAGGGAACAGTTGATCATGGAGAAGTCGGGCCTGCATACGTCCAGGAAGTGAGGCCTCAAGCGGCCCACGGACACTTTGGCTATGTCTGTGAAGGACTGGCTGACCGCACAGCCGAAGATGAAAACCCCCACCTGCTTGTAGAGGGCGGACAGGTAGGGGTTCCTCACAAACGCATTGGAGCCCTCATGGAGGTAGTGGATCCTGTAGCTCTCGCCTATGGTGATCTGTGTAAGAGGTTGAGGAGACAAGGAGAAGATGAGTTAAGGGCAGTTTGGACCAAGATTATATCTGACTTCTTGGTCATTTTGACCAAAATATGCTTTAAAACAATTATGAATAAAACCATAAAAAGCAGCTGCACTTCATGAGCAGATTATGAGGGTTAGTTAAAAACAAGCTAGCTGATCCCGACAAGCTTTTCTACATTACTAGTTTCAGTCTGATTTTCATTTAATTTCTTCATGTAAACCTAAAATTTTGGGTTGAGCAAACAAATCTAATGAATTCATGGAAATACAGCTAACATTTCTGCAATTTTGAGAGATGTGTTAACATATTAGCATTAAGGTTTGGTCATGGACCAAGAAGACAGCACATTTGTACTCTATAGTTTAAACCAGGGGTGTCAAACTCAACCACTAAAAGGGCCATATTAAAAAATCAACAAATCCAAATCTGTGGGACAGCTACGTTTTTATGTTATTTTTACTTTTACGTTATTTTTACTTAACATTTTGCCATGAACCCAACTGGCCATTGTGTGTTCAAAATATGCCAAAACTACAACAGCAAAAAAAATGGCGCTAAATACTTTGAACGATTCAAAAATAATTCAAAACAAAAACAAATTGTTTTATATTAACCTCTTATGCTTGTGGGTATATTTCAGTTTTTCCATCTGAACTTACATGCCCAAATCGTAAGGCAAATTATTCAGAAACTGCATGAAATAAATGTAAATTTTTTGCTTTTTTTGTAAAGGTTTCCCTCAAATTAACAGAACATGTATTTTATATTCATACACATATTGCTATATGCTTACATTTTACTGCTGAAAGCAAAAAATCTTGGCTGCTCTGTATTTTTTCAATAAAAATAATTTTTACAGAGCAGGTCACTGAAGAGACCTGAGATCCAGTTTACAGCTCAGATTTGTGGAAAATGGGTCGACTTTCAGTAGAAAAAAAAACTGAGTTCAGCTTCTTTTATTATAAGGTTGTAAAATTACATCACCCATCTGTTTGACTGGAAAGAAGACAGTTACAGCTCTCGTATGACACCCACCTTTAGAATGTAGCTAATGAAATATGAAAGTTATATAGAATATGACGAAGTGTGTTTTGGAACCACCGGTGGTTCTAAGGAGTAAAAAGAAACAATAGGCTACATTAGATTCAGATAACTGTTAAACCTCTTTACCCCAATGTACAGCAGGTCTTTCTAAAGCTGCCCATTTGCTTGAACTCCACCTGGCATCTTTTTTTTTGTTTGGTTTTGTTTTTGTGGTGCAGTGCCATAGTTCGCTGTTGGGGAGGGGGTGGGAGCACACATTACATTGCAGTGCATGCTGGGAACTGTAGTGCACTTCATGGTGAAATGGGCTAAAATGAATAGAAAATTAAAATCATTTCGCAGGCTGAACAGGATTGTGCCACGGGCCTGACTTGGCCCGCAGGCCTTGTGTTTGACACATGGAGTTTAAACCAAGTAAACAAAAAAACAGGAAAGCAACATCTAGATGAGTGAATTTACAACAGCTCAGTAAACAAGGGCAGCAGTCAAACAGGCAAACCTTAAAATCCCACAGCGCTAGCATGCATGCTAACATCTCCCTCTGCTTTTACTTTGCTGTCTCTGTGAGCGGCACTTCATCGTTAAACACACGCTACTCCAGCAAATAATTCCCTCTCCCATCTGGATGTCACTTGTGGAATTTCAGCCAGCTCAAAGCACTCCGGAGCAACACTGAGCAGCATGATTGAGGGCAGCGTTAATTCAACCCATGTGTTCAACCCCGGCCCCCCCATCCTCCACCCTTCCTTACACTCCCTGCCGAGAAATGTGCGTGTGAAGGAGACTTGGGGGGATCTGAGGGGCTCATAGCTGGTTCCAATAAAGAGAAGTGCTGAGCTAGCTGTCCTGTCTCATGCTGGCAGCCTGGCGTTTGGTGTTTGGTTTGCAGTCTGAAGTCTGGAGCATCTCTGGGCACTGACGGCTCACCAGTTCCATTCTGTTGAAGGGTTTTATGCGGACAGGGGGGTCGAATCCCAAATCAAGGGAAGCAGAATTTCTCAGTAAGCTAATCCAAAAGTGAGGACTGTTCTACAGGAACGTTCCTGATAACTTTGTTAATTGGGCAGGCTTGACTTTTGACTTATCTGAGTAACTCCTGCATTGTAAAAAAACACTAAGAACACCAAATCTGAAGCACTGGTTAATATGGGTCTGTTTTCAGCCATCTGAGACTTCGACCACAGTTAACTCGCCATCCTCCAGCACATCCCCCAACAACCCCCCCCACCCCCCATCTGTTTAAGGAAATGAAAACGTCTCCTTTGGAAAACCAGCTCTCCAAGGATGAGTCCCAGACGACGTGGCCTGTTTTGTCTCTGCACAGATTGCGCTATCCATCTACCTTGACTGCGAAAAGGAGCCAAAAGAAGACGTTTACTTTAAGGGTTAACTTCTGCAAGACTACTTTTCAACTTTTCAGCAAAACTGCAGGCTTTTTGATGAGTAACAGCCCAAAAAAGCTGTAAAGTCAGCTTTGAAAGCATTAAATCATCGGTTGGTGAAGTGTGAAAAAGCATGGAGGAGCTCTTTATGCTGCATTCCAGTTTAACTACAGTCAAAATGTTTGCGAGCAAACACTCGAAAAAGTGTGTAAATTAGCACAAATGCTAATTAAGGATTTCCTGCTGTCTGTCACAGCGCTGTGTGGCTCCATGCAAACGGTTTCACACCAGAAGTCGTTAGCAGAGACTGAATAAGAGAACGGAACACGAGTACAAACCGTGGCCTGTTCCGTCACCTCTCTCGGGACCCTTTTGACCGTAACAGTGTCCACTTAGATTTTTTTTCTTTTGGGTTTCAAATAAATGATTCATCACAGTGAGCTTTATAATAAAATATTTCACACTACACAAGCAAATTGTGCAAGGCTGATCCCTAAATGTGCAGGACCTGAGCTGACATTCATAAAAATAAAACATTTGAGGGGAAAAACAACAAAAGCAGGAATTCCAATCCGATCCGATTCTGAACTGCAAGGTTCAAGACTGCCTTTTGGAAGGTCTCAGATAACAAAAGACAAATAATCTGCTCTGACCGTCGGCCCCGACTGGCCCTCAGAGGAATAGCTTTCACCCTATTCTCAAAAACTGTTAAGCGTGAAAACCTGGGACTAAATTCAGCCTTTTACCCGAAAATTAGACCCCTGGATTAACACTGGAAAAGTCTAGAATAGTCTAATATAAACTTCATCAGTATTAATGATTTTGTAAGATGTTCACTGCCTGTCAGAAGTTTGGGGACACAGTTTACAATACAGTGAGATGTGAGTGTGAAGAACCTTTTTAAAGTTTAAAGAACCTGCACATTAGGCTGTAGGAAGAACCTTTAAACTGATAAGGAACCTTTGTCTTAGGTGAAGGTTCTTTGTACCTCTAAGCAGTTCTTCATAGTTTGTCATTTGCATATATGGTTTTGAGGTCTTTCGTAGTTTTTGGGTTTTTCAAACTTCGTTTCTGCATAAATAAATAAATAAGCAGTACTAAGACAAACATACGAAGGCAGAATAGTCCACAAATGACATATAAACTCAGAAGACTCCTGTAGGTTCACTGGTGGTTTTGGATAGTCAATAAAATGTCTATATTTGTGTTGTAGTCATGGCGACCCCTGGTTCCCATCACCACCACTGTAAAGACATCTGAGTATCTACAATCAACCATTTCACACCAAACCACTCTGAATGACTGTTTACATCTCACCCACTGGGTTATGTAGAAATTTTGAAAATCAGAGAAATGTCCATTTAGACCCTTGTTTTAATATTAGTTAAAATGTACTGTTTTTTATTGACAAATCCAAACAAATTCATATCATTGTAAAATGAAACTGATCACAGCTATTTTAATTTGTCTTTGTGCATTTGTCATCTTATACACACCACCGAAGAAAGAAAGCTTTCAAAACATTTTAAAACATTTACTTTTTACTTTTATATACTTGAGTCTGTTTAAATGTTGGTATTTTATACTTTAACTGAATTGTATTTTTGGCTCCATACTTATCTATAATGTCACTTCGTACAGTTTCTCTGTACTTTTACCAAACCTTTTAGATTTATTTAGAGGAAAACAACACGTGCAAATACTAGTGAGAGCGCTACTGTGAGAATAAAGACGAAGCCCACTCATTTAATCCCCTTGTTGTGATGTCAGCACTCAAATCTTTCAGGTGTTTAAACCACATTTGGGCCAAAAGAGTTTCAACATCTGTGTTTAACAACAGTTTGGAAAGCAAAGCTGTCAAAATCACTATTTAGACCAAACCTGCCCTTCACACCAATGAAGACGCTTTGAAGACCCTTTGATGAGCATGAAGCTGAGTGGTGAAGACACCTGAAGAGTTAGCACAGAGCTTCTTTGTGCTAATTACACATTTGCATGCATTTTTTTCTTGCTTAAGTGAAAAGGAACAGTAACAGTAGTGCGAAGATGGTGCTAGACAGTTTATTTATATAGCGCTTTTTACAACAGGTGTTGTCACAAAGCAGCTTTACAGAAAAATCGGGGTCCGAGCCCCCATGAGGGTCCCAATGGCGACAGTGGCAAAGAAAACTCCCTAAGAGCAAGAGGAAGAAACGGTAACACTTTCTATGAATGTCACCTTTGTAAGCATCTATAAACATATTCATAACATGTTATAATGCATTCATAAGACATTATAAACATAGCTATAAATATTTATAAAAATACATTATACATTATAGCCATGTTTATTATGCATTATGAATTGTTAACATAATACATTATAAGTACTGATCATAACAAATTATAAGAGCTTATAAGTCGTATTTGTCCGCTCTAAGTAAAGTGAAGTGTACTGTACTAAAGCCTCCTCCAGTGTTAAGAGTGAGGCTTCAAGTTGAAGTATTTACTGAAGGATTTACTGAAACAGTAAAACATACACAGTAAAGCACATTACAGGCTTCAAATGTCAGAGTTTAAACTAGAGCTGCCATCAGTGTTTTACCCAGTGTGGGAAAGGTAATGTACACCACCGTTAGCTTGGTATTTGTCTTCTTTGGCACTGACATTATAACATGTTATTAACACTGTTTATAATGCATTATATAAACAATTCATAATGTATAATAAACATGGCTATAAAGTGTAATTCTGTGTAATTCTTTTTTATAAATATTTATAACCATGTTTATAATGCCTTATGAACACATTATAACATGTTATAAATGTGTTTATAGATGCTTACAAATGCGACATTCATATAATGTGTTACCGAAGAAACCTTGAGAGGAACCAAGACTCAAAAGGGGAACCCATCCTCCTCTGGTCAACACCAGATAGAAAACAGCAAGGAAAAGACAGGAGATAAACTTACAGAGAGGACCACGATGAGTGTGCCCGCGGCCGATAAAACCCCATCGCTGATAGTCTCTCTGTTTTTGGCGGGGTACTTTATGGACTCATCACTGCAGTAGAAACCGCGGCGATAAGGCCGGACAGCGCTGGACTCGATGATCAGGAAAGGCAGACCAGCTGTAAAAGAGAAAGAAGGGAAAAAAGGTTTAGGTATGAGCTCCTCTGGAGGAATCTGGATGTGTGTGCATGGAATCAAGCTCAAACATCATCACACCAGATCAGTCACAGAGCTGACTGACCAATACATTTCAGAGTCATTGAGTCTGCAAAATCAAGTCTACGCTCATTGTCCATTTTATCAGCTCCACTTACTATATAGGTGCACTTTGTAGTTCTACAGTTACAGACTGTAGTCCATCTGTTTCTCTGATACTTTGTTAGCCCCCTTTTACCCTGTTCTTCAGTGGTCAGGACCCCATGGACCCTCACAGAGCAGATACTATTTGGGTGGTGGATCATTCTCAGCACTGCAGTAACACTGACGTGGTGGTGGTGTGTTAGTGTGTGTTGTGCTGGTCTGAGTGGATCAGACACAGCAGTGCTGCTGGAGTTTTTAAACACCTCAGGGTCACTGCTGGACTGAGAATAGTCCACCAACCAAAAATATCCAGCCAGCAGCATCCTGTGGGCAGCGTCCTGTGACCACTGATGAAGGACTAGAGGATGACCAACACAAACCGTGCAGCAGCAGATGAGCTATCGTCTCTGACTTTACATCTACAAGGTGGACTGACAAGGTAGGAGTGTCTAATAGAGTGGACAGTGAGTGGACACAGTGTTTAAAAACTCCAGCAGCACTGCTGTGTCTGATCCACTCGTACCAGCACAACACACACTACAACACCACCAACCCATCAGTGTCACTGCAGTGCTGAGAATGATCCACCACCCAAATAGTACCTGCTCTGTGAGGGTCCATGGGGGTCCTGACCACTGAAGAACAGGGTAAAAGGGGCTAACAAAGTATCAGAGAAACAGATGGACTACAGTCTGTAACTGTAGAACTACAAAGTGCACCTATATAGTAAGTGGAGCTGATAAAATGGACAATGAGTGTAGAAACAAGGAGGTGCTCAGAATGTTATGCCTCATCAGTGTAAAGCTCCAGTTGCTCCTGATTCAACAAAAGGAAGAAACTACTTCCAAACTATTGCTAGCCAAAAAAGGACAATTCTCTGCCTCTGTTATAACAGTTTGCCAAACCTCAGTCTCACCAACAACTACTGAAGGTTGAGTACATTCAGCATCTATTTCACTCAAACATTACAGGGGCATATGAAACAATTACATTAAATAGAAACACATTTTTGCTACTTTACAGCAACTACAACTGACACAGACCCTGTACGTTTAACCAAACATTAAGGAAATACTTATATGGAATTATAGTCTTCTTTACAATTTCGATTCACCATCATAAAGTTCCTACAAAGCCAACTCCAAAAAAGTTGGGAGAGTGTGTGAAATGCAAATAAAACCAGAAAGCAGTGATTAGTAAATCCTCCTTGGCCTGTATTTAAATGAAACCACCACAGAGACAAGATATACAATGTTTCATCTTATTAACTTCATTGTTTTTAATGTAAATATACAATATCTGCAACATGTTCCAAAAAAGTTGGGACAGGAGACCAGAAACATTGTGAAACATTCAGAAAACACTGTAAAAGAGTTTATGTAATCGTGCTCGGGTATAAAAGGAGCATCCAGGAAAGGCTTAGTGCTTTATGAGAAAGGGTGGGTTGAGGCTCATCACTTTGCCAAAAAATGCAGCAGCAAACCAACTGTTCCTCAACTAATGTTGTCAATGATTTTAGGTATTTGACCTTCTGTGATGCATAATATCATCAAAACATTAAATCTATGTGTGTAAGGCCAAAAACCACAACTGAATGCCCGTGATCCTTGACTCCTCAGACGGCACTGCATTAAAAAAATGGGATGTTTCTGTGATGGATGGGCTCAGGAATACTTTGACAAACCTTTGTCAATAAACACTGTTCGCTGCTACATCCACAAAATGAAGTTATGGAATAACTGAAGTTCAGGAGGAGGCACAGGCCTGAAACCATTCCTCCTGCCAATCTAATGCTCTATAAATACACATCATCTTCAGTCATCCAGTGATGGGCAGAAGCTGCCCAAAACGCCAGCCCAAGTTCTCAGAGCTCTCTCGGCTTCTTCAATCAGTCTTTCTTCACTACCACCACATGTCCAAGGCATGGTTCAAACTCACAAATGCAAGTTAAGACGGTACAAAGGAAGCCATATGTCAACAATGACAGAAATGCTGTCGACTTCTCTGCAGTTCAGCATGTGCCAACTGTTTTTAATAGGAGACAGGCGGGTCAGTTTGGCACCAGTACCCTCTGATTCAAAGCCAAACTGCTTATATCTGACTCAGGTCGAGTAGAAGACATTCTGACAGCATTCTGCAGTTCAATACAGGAATTGAAGGGGGTGATATGGGTTTTATTATTTCATTGAATCATATGAGAAACTGTGCAGACAAAACTTGAAATGATGGTTCTGTAAGATTCGTCTGAAGCCACAATAGTTAGATTAGTTGATCCTTATGATCGGCTGCAGGCTGAACCAGAAAGGTTCAAAACACTGGAGCACACGGGTGAATACGGGTGCAATGTGGGCACAGTTAAGCAGATTAGATGGAGGGATCAGTTTGTTTACAGAATAACACACACAGACACACACACAAACACACACACACACACACACACACACAGAGTGTATTCCTGTTTTTCTGAGGTGTTTTCATGTGCTTCTGTATTAGGAATGTGCATTCCAACTCATTTTGATTTCAAGTATCTGAATACAAGTGTAAGTGGTAATGAACGGATAACTGTTTGACCACAGGGAAGGAAAAAAATCAACAAAAAAAAGTGAAAAAAATGGACTTGGGCCAAAATTAGCATAGAGTTGTAAGCTTAATTTTTAGATGGTAGCATTTATTCATTCATTCATTATCATTAACTGCTTAATCCAGATAGGGTTGCGGTAGCAGAGAATCCCAGACGCCCCTGTCCCCCGCGACTTCCTCCAGCTCATTCCCGGGGACCCCAGCCACTCCCAGGCCAACTTAGAGATATTACCCCTCGAGCGGGTCCTAGGTCGACCCTGGGGTCTCGTACCCCAGTAGGCCATGCCTGGAACACCCCCATTGGGAGCATTCGGATCAGATGCCCCAACCACCTCAACTGGCTCCTCTCAAAGTGGAGGAGTAGCAGCTCTACTCCAAGCTCCCTATCAAGTAGAGGGTAGCCCACCACCCTGTGAAGAAAGCTCATTTCCGCTGCTTGAATTCGCGACCTCATTCTTTCGGTCATTACCCGCAGCTCATGACCATAGGTGAGGGTCGGGATGTAGACCGACCGGTAAACAGAGAGCTTTGCCTTATGGCTCAGGTCCTTCTTCACCACTTCAGTCCGGTACAGTGACAGCATTACTGCTGCCGCCTGTCCCAGCCTGCAGCCAATCTCACAATCCTTCTTCCATCACTCGTGAACAAGACCCCGAGATACTTAAACTCCTGCACCTGGGGCAGGTCCTTTTCCCTTACCTGGAGTGGGCATGCCAACCTTTTCCTGACTGTTAAAACTTGATATTCATTAATATCAAAGGGAAACTGTTTTAGTCTTGGATGAGCAACAGAGCCTCAGCTAAGCTAATAATCCAATGCTAACACCAACTGGTACAACATTTGATGCTAATGGAGACTCTCTGTCTGTTCTCCTCAGTGGATGATGTGTCAGTGTCCAAACCCAATGTACAAACAATTCCAAAAACAGTTCAGACAGCATGTGAAATGCTAATAAAAACAGAAAGCAGTGATTAGTAAATTCTGTTTAACCTGTATTAAATTGAAAACAGTCTTGTGAATGCCACTGTTTTTTGTAAATATACACTTATTTCAAATATGATGCCTGAAACGTTACATCCTTTTGACAGCTCTTACTGAACGTTTGGAGACTGAAGACACAAACTGATCCAGTTTTGAAAGCAGATTTTTTGCCATTTTTCTACAAGTCTTCAGCTGTACATCCATAAAAGACCTTTGTTGTTGTATTTTGAGCTTAATAAGACATGGTTTTAATGGTAAACAGCATGCAGGCCAATCTAGCCCCCATATTCTGCATGTGTTACAATAGTATGGGTGTGTGAGTGCTATGCTGTTGCATCACAGGCAGAATGTTTCTTGATGTTGTCATGTTGAAATAAGCATGGACATTCCTAAAATAAGCGACACACGTTCCTCAAAATGTGTTTAACGTTAATGGTGTCTCAACAGATGTGCAGGTTACCCACTACTACCCCTCTACACCATGAGAGATCCTGGCTTTTGAACTTTATGCTGGTAACAATCGGAATGGTCCTTTTCTTCTTTGGCCTGAAGAACATGACATCCGTTACAATCTGAAAGGCTGATTCGTCAGATCACAATACACGTTTCCACTCTGCATCAGTCTATTTCAGATGAACTCGAGCCCAGAGAAGTCGGCGGCGTTTCTGGACGGTGTTGACACCTGACTTCCACTGTACATATTACAGTCTTAAGTCTACTGCATTTGTGGATGCAGCAGCGGACAGTGTTTATCAACAATGGTTTAATAAAGTATTCCTGAGCCTGTGTGGTAATATCCATCACCGAAACATGCCAGCTTTAATGCAGTGCCATCTAAGAGATCAAAGTCCACAGACATGCAGCTGCAGTTTTCGGCCTTGTTTTTGATTTTTTGATGATGATATGCAATGTACAGGTCAAAATACCTTAAATTCTTGCAATACCTTCTTAAGCAACATTATTTTTAAACTTGGATTTCTTGCTGATGCGATTTGGTGAAGTACTGAGCCTTGATCCATCCTTGCTTATAAAAGGACTAGGCATTCCCTGTACTGTTTTTGTTCAAATACAGTTCAAAGTAGATTTATAAACGACTCCTTTCTGTTTTGATTTACATTTTACTGTTCAAGCACTAAAGTGAAAAACCAAACATTTGGACACCAGACATGGCTAATCGACTACATCTGGGGGAAGTTGAATGTTTTGTGCTGATGTTTTGCTGAACCATTCCTTTAAAAAGATCAGCTTTGGTCTCTTT